TGTCTCTGTCCTACTCTGCGGCAGGATTTTTATCCAAACGACTTTATGGCCCGAGTCCTCGATCCAACCTACGTCGTACGGTCGATAGTCGTACTCTGCTACGTTCCAGGGCATGCCGCGACTTTTACATAACCACAAATTACCGGACTGATCGCGAGAGTGTAAATCGTATAATTGGGCCTTCGTTTGCTACACGTCCGGAAGCTGTACGAGACAGCAGTGGCTGATGTGAAAATTAGACATATTCAGCGGGGGGCAATCTGGGGTATGTGGGGCACTGACGGAATCGGATGTCTTACCCGTTTGTCAAACACGCCAGACATCATATGCGCGTGTCCACCCACACCAACTCTTTGATGAAGCACCCCAGAACCCGTCTTTGCTCATCATGTCCCCGTACTCACCAGAAGATTAGGATGGGAGAAAATTGGTGCGACGAGGAAGGGGAAGATACTGGAAACGAGCCACAACTGTTGACCAGTCAAGGCCGCCCAACCGCCAGCACTGGTGATGTCGGCCATCGGCGAAACGTTCGGGGGCAGCATCCGGCGCCATGCAAACCGACCACGCACAATCTCGGAACCAGCAGAATCCAGAGCGTCCAGCACAAAGGTCATTATCTTCTTGCCCGCGTTAAGCGCAGACTGTGTCAGCAGCAGGAACATCCATGGGAGGAGGGGGGCAGGGTGGAGTCAGCTGGGTTAGTACTTGACCTGAACGGCACTTGGGCCTTCATCAGGGCGCATACATACCGTACTGGAGGAGAGCGGAGGGCTCCAGACTATATGTCGCTGGGTTCGATGGGATCGCGGACCCTTCGGGTTCTATGCACTTGAGTTTACATTTTCGGGGTAACAGTTGGATCAATAGGGACAGATGAAGGTACTGGGTAGAGAGAGCGGATCCGTTTTTTTCATTTCAAGACAACAACAACAACAACAACAATGCCTCTCAGCTCGGGACCAGGCGACGCTTTGCGCGTAGTATTGACAAGAAATCTCCAAACGTCAGGGACCACCTTTTACAAGGGTCTCAAGAAATTAGCTCGTTTCTAGAGGAAACTCGGGAACGAGATCAACTGCGCGTCCAACGCGTGATTGCTTGTGTGATCTATATTGAACTAATGTGTCAGCCATTTCATATTGAGCCAAACAATCTTGCAGTTTCTGGGTACCTGGTGCAAAACGTCCATGCCGCACCCCTCTACGCGGTCGAAAGTGACCTCGTCCAGGGGGTTGGGATACCGGGGCACGACCACGCCCAGGGCTCTTGACATCTTCAGCTGCTCCTGCCTCTTTTCGATGGAGGCAACGAGCGCCAGGTCCTCCCTCAGTCCATCGGCTGAACGCGCGTTCTTGACAATGTCGTATCTGGGGTTGCCGAGGTCCTTCCTTGGAACCGTGCATGCCTGGCACGCCCTTTCCGTCTTGGCGTTGTGGTGCTTCTGGTTCGTCCACAAGCTGTGCATCGGGGAGTCGAGGTTCGCCGTCAGGAGGCCCATTCTTACTAGCGCCTGACAAAGGGGGGCGGAGCGGCGTGAATGAGGCGGGGTGTTGTTCGAACGTTCGAAATCTGGGCATTGTTTCCTCGCAACCCAAGCTCGTGATACAACCCAAGCCACAAGCAATCCTATACCGGGGGCAGTTGTACGATGCGGGTGGGGCCCAAAGCACCAGCGCGTACTTTGTGTACCAGAAATCTCACACTGGTGCTACCAATGCGGTGAAAGTGTTGCACTTTGAAAAAGGCCGATAAAAGGGAACTCTTCAACCCCCCTCCCATTACTGTCGTTCACCAGGGGGTACCGTTGAGCGACCTAGCATTACCCCCCCCCTTCTTCCGGTGCGTGCGAAAACGCGCTGGCATCGATCCTGGGGCTTCCGTAGGTCAAAAACATTGCAGATGTCAACACAGGTACCATCCCATCTACGCCGCCGTTGTTTGTCGTTGTCCACAGAATGGGCAGTTTGGTGCCCTCGTGGTACCCCACCAACAAACGTAAGAAATGGTACAAGACGCTTTGAAGCACACAGCCACATGTCTCTTCGACATACCTCGAGAATCGCATGGTTTCGTAGGGCTGTGGGGGGCGCGAACATCCGGGTAATCTGTGTGCACTATGCACCGAGGTACACGGGGGCTAACAGACAGACGAGAAGTATCCTTCCACTCCACCCACCCAGGTAAGATATCCATCGACCTTTCCGATCTCCATATCCCAAAAAACTCACCGTTATGGTTTGCTTGTCTCCGACCGCAATCTCCGCCTTGCATCCATTTTGAAGGAGGCGAATGATTTTCATGAGAGGCAAGACGTCCAACTCCCACGCCGCGCCCGGCAACCCGAGAGTAGCAAGATGCCACGATCGAAGACGCCGTAGAAGAGCCGGCGACAAGCACCCCAATCCGACGAACGTCGCATTTACGCTGTACCTCTTACCACTCAGACTGAAGTAATTGAAAGCATCCGAGCTGCACGCTAGCCCCGTGGAAAATACGGGCAGCCCCGTTAGGTTCGCGTGGACTCCACTTGCCCTCCGGTCGAAGAACCAACCGTGGTATCCCTGCTGCCTCCAAGGTGTCATCACTACCTTTAGCTCCTTTGTCCGGGGAGTCTGATTAATGAAGCCTTCCCCGTAGTATGCAGGCACCGCACCATCGTTGTCTGTTTCCGAAGAATCACCAGGTTCCAGGACCGAACAAAGGCCCAAAATGGATCCGACCCGTAGTTCCAACGGGTCGTTCGTGAGCTCCCAGACATGCTCGTGTGTTTCCTCGCGTCGACGCTTGGGATTCAACGCTTGGCCCGCTTCACTCCTCGTCAGGAGGCGATTGACACGAACTACGAGATGACCCTCCGAACTACTCGCGCTCCTCTCTGGGCTGCTGCTTCTGCCATCGGCGCCGGCTCCTTCCCCTCCGAGTCTTCTCTTCCCCTTCTGAGCCACACTAGCCGCCAAGCTCTCCGCGTATGCTTTCCCCTTCCAGGTTTTCCCTCGGACACGGCCGGTACGCCGGCCGTGAGCCCCTACGTTTACCGCCGAAGCTCCACCGCTACTGCTGTCCCTGCTGCCACCACTGCTGCTCCTGCTGTCTCTGCTGCCACCACTGCTGCTCCTGCTGCTCCTGCTGCTCCTGCTGCCATCACTGCTGCTCCTGCTGCTCCTGCTGCCATCACTGCTGCTGCTGCTTCTCCTGCTCCTGCCGCGGCTGCTGCTGCCATCACTGCTGCTGCTCCTTCTCCTGCTCCTGCCGCGGCTGCTGCTGCCGTCACTGCTGCTGCTGCTTCTCCTGCTCCTGCCGCGGCTGCTGCTGCCGTCACTGCTGCCATCTTCTTCATCCTGGAACCCCAGCCGTTCCGACAAACCCGCCCCCCCTCCTGCAAGCTGCAGCTCTCTGTTGTCTCGTTTGCGAAGGTCGCGCCAGAACATTGCAGCTAGCCTACACGGCTGGGGCGTGCCGCAACCAGGCACGCGGGCCATGATTGTATCACCAACCATTACCCGCACCCCATCTTCAGCCGTAACGCACTCGAGGCCCATATGAGAGGAGCACCGCACGAGTTCGCCGTTCATGTAGGTCTCGTAGGCCTTGTCCGGAAGTTCCGTGGCGACCGGCGTGATGTGTTCGTCGGATACGTTGTTCTCGGCGCGTTCCCCAGATGACATCACGTGCCCGCCGAAATTTTTTGCGCCATTCTTCTACTACGCGCGGGCATAAAAGCATCCGCTGGAGCACGAGATTAAAAGGGATGTCCATCGCCCGGGCAGGCTTGCCGTCCTTGTCCTTAATCTGTCGTTCGTAGACCGGGAGGTGTGGCAGACGTTTTCGCCTTCGACTGATTAGGTGCTCGGCCGAACGAGGAGCGTGGTCCGGACGGAACCGGCAGCCTTCTCGATCGACAAATCTGATCAGATCCAGAAGCATCTGCAAAGACTTTCGCGAGGGCCGGTGAAGCACAGCCCACACGCCGATCAGCTGGTCCGTCAGATTAAGCCAAGGGAAGTACTTGCTGCCGAGCGCTTTCTTGAGGAACTGAGGCTCTTCTCCGTCCACACACTTCGCACCGTTGTACTCTGGCACCTCCTTGTGCGCATCCTTAAGATGACGTATGTCGCAATCACCTCCTACTCTTGGCTCCATGTCCTCATCGGAGCCCACGTCTCGTACGGGTCCCGAACCGTGCAGAGCGCCGTTCTCGTCATCTGTGGGTTTGGCGTGAAGGAGGGAAGTTAAAAACAAAAATCCTTCTGTTCGTTTTGCGACACCACAGATAGCGCCCGCTCTTATTTTGGCTGAGGCTCGGGCTCTTCGTTAATCGTGTGGGCTGCAGATGGCCGCTATATATAGGTTTTAGTGTGGGGTTCTTACCCGGGGCCTAGAATGGCTCAAGTTCTTATTTTTCATACACACCGCAGTCATGGCCACATTAGGCACCGAGGCAGTACGTTAGCATCCACTCCGGTATGCGTTATCTCTGCTCTCCATCGTGCAAGCGGGACCCCGGGATGATCACATGTTGAAGGTGCTGTATGCACCCCCCCGTGGTATTTTCCGTTTGGATCTTTCAGCCGTAGGCAGTACATTGGATCTTACAGAAAGGACATATCTGCCCCACATCAGAGACATTACTTTTGTACAAATGGTGGTACTGCGTGTACCCCTGCGCACATTGCTCATATGCAAGCTTGTGTGGTGGGCTGCCTCTTGGTCTCTCAGCTGGCCCACGGCGCATGTCTTGTTCTCTTACGCTAGACTATGACCCTAGAACCGGACCTTTCGCCACACAAAGCTATCGTCCTGCTATCGTACATTCGACCCTACGGTCGGCCAGGGTCGACTGCAATCCTTCTTTCAATAAAATGAACCTCGCCTCCGCATAATCATTTATACATAGGTGGTAAATACGAACGCTGTGTGTGGCCTTCGCTGGTGGTGTGACCCCTGAAGACGGTCGATCAACATCAGGGATGACGAAAGGAATCGACAACACAGCATTGTTGGGAAAAACAGATTGTGAGTGAGCATGTCAAATTACATGTGTAGATTCCTCACCGCTGCCTGCATCTTCTTCACAGCCGAAAACTCCCCCCATCTCCGCCGTTGCTTACGGCATCCCAGGGGTCGGGTCCATCGAGTCCACCTACTTCGTCGACGGAATCGAAAGCCTCGTTGGCGTCATTTGGTGATGGCGACGGCTCCCGTTCGGCAGGGCACCTTCCGCATACCACGTGTTTCAGCCCGTCTCGCTTTTTTCTAAAAAGCTTACGACAGCCCGTGCAAATGAACCCGCCGCCAGGATATCTATCCACCTTGGAAGGCATCACCGCGAGAGTGCCACCAGCTGATCTTCACTCACACCACTCTGACCACCAAGGGCATGCCGCTCGGCAAGGCAAGGAGGGGGGCACGTCACCCGAGTCGGGGGCGGGGGGGGGGGGGGAAGGGGGGGAAGTTTTTTCTTTTCCCCCCCACAGCTGCCGGTTCCCGGATCAAGGAACGGCCCCCCCCAGAAGGGGCCCCCCCCCAACATGCCCAAAAACTTTTTCACCCAAAGCGAACCCGGGAGGGAAACCGGAAACAAAAGGGAAGCATAAGCCGGGGTCCCCGGGGAAACCCCTATGCGGGGGGTATCCCCCCGGGGGGGCCAAGAACAA